CAGTGCTCCCGGTGGGCATCCAGTACAGTGAGGAAGAGCTAACAGAGGGCGGTCAGGAACGGGGGGGAGACATCCTCCGCCTCTTCAGCAGCCAGAAAGAAGTAGGGCGAGGAGAGTGGCTCGGTAGCCGGTCTAGAGACAGGTCTGTCTCCTGACCCACACGCAGCCGAGGGGGCTAGCGTCATCAGGCTATTGCTTCCGCATCATCAGGAGAAGAGGGTGGCAGCTTGGCAGCGAGCAAAACAGTCGTGGGTTGTCTCCATCGCCACACTCTGCCATGTGCCACAGAATTCAGGTCTCCTCACACACTGCTGGTGTGTTCCATTTTTTGTCATAGGGTGCTGGCAGATTACGGGCCTCCCATAGCTGCTGCCAGGCCCCTAATCTGCCATGGGCCCCTGTACCGCCCGCCTCCTCATGCTGCTCAGGGCCACAGAGTCTCTCATGTCCCTGTACGGCCTCCCATTGCTGCTGTCTCATCGCCACACTGTGTGCCACTTTCAGGTCTCCTCTCACTGCTGGTGTGTGGGCTGTTACTGGGCCTCCTCATAGCTGCTGCCAGGCCCCTAATCTGCCACCATCCTCATTGCTGCCAGGTCCACATGTCTCATGCCATGTGGCCACTTTCAGGTCTCCTCACACTGCTGGTGTGTTCCATTTTTTGTCATAGGGTGCTGGCAGATTACGGGCCTCCTCATGCTGCTGCCAGGGCCCCTAATCTGCCATGGGCCCATGTAAGTCCCTGTACGCCTCCATTGCTGCTGTCTCCATCGCCACACTCTGCCATGTGCCACTTTCAGGTCTCCTCACACACTGCTGGTGTGTTCCATTTTTTGTCATAGGGTGCTGGCAGATTACGGGCCTCCCATAGCTGCTGCCAGGCCCCTAATCTGCCATGGGCCCCTGTACCGCCTCCTCATGCTGCTGCTGCCAGTCCACAGTGTCTCTCATGGGTCCCTGTACGTACTCCGGCTCCCATTGCTGCTGTCTCCATCGCCATCGCACACTCTGCCCATGTGCCACTTTCAGGTCTCCTCACACTGCTGGTGTGTTCCATTTTTTGTCATAGGGTGCTGGCAGATTACGGGCCTCCCATAGCTGCTGCCAGGCCCCTAATCTGCCATGGGCCCCTGTACCGCCTCCTCATGCTGCTGCTGCCAGGTCCACACCACAGTGTCTCTCCATGCCATGTGCCACTTTCAGGTCTCCTCACACTGCTGGTGTGTTCCATTTTTTGTCATAGGGTGCTGGCAGATTACGGGCCTCCCATAGCTGCTGCCAGGCCCCCTAATCTGCCATGGGCCCCTATACCGCCTCCTCATGCTGCTGCCAGGTCCAGAGTCTCTCATGGGTCCCTGTACGGCCTCCCATTGCTGCTGTCTCCATCCATCGCCACACTCTGCCATGTGCCACTTTCAGGTCTCCTCACACACTGCTGGTGTGTTCCATTTTTTGTCATAGGGTGCTGGCAGATTACGGGCCTCCCATAGCTGCTGCCAGGCCCCTAATCTGCCATGGGCCCCTATACCGCCTCCTCATGCTGCTGCCAAGTCCAGAGTCTCTCATGGGTCCCTGTACGGCCTCCCATTGCTGCTGTCTCCATCGCCACACTCTGCCATGTGCCACTTTCAGGTCTCCTCACACACTGCTGGTGTTTCCATTTTTTGTCATAGGGTGCTGGCAGATTACGGGCCTCCCCATAGCTGCTGCCAGGCCCCTAATCTGCCATGGGCCCCTATACCGCCTCCTCATGCTGCTGCCAGGTCCAGAGTCTCTCATGGGTCCCTGTACGGCCTCCCATTGCTGCTGTCTCCATCGCCACACTCTGCCATGTGCCACTTTCAGGTCTCCTCACACTGCTGGTGTGTTCCATTTTTTGTCATAGGGTGCTGGCAGATTACGGGCCTCCCATAGCTGCTGCCAGGCCCCTAATCTGCCATGGGCCCCTATACCGCGCCTCCTCATGCTGCTGCCAGGTCCAGAGTCTCTCATGGGTCCCCTGTACGGCCTCCCATTGCTGCTGTCTCCATCGCCACACTCTGCCATGTGCCACTTTCAGGTCTCCTCACACACTGCTGGTGTGTTCCATTTTTTGTCATAGGGTGCTGGCAGATTACGGGCCTCCCATAGCTGCTGCCAGGCCCCTAATCTGCCATGGGCCCCCTATACCGCCTCCTCATGCTGCTGCCAGGTCCAGAGTCTCTCATGGGTCCCCCTGTACGGCCTCCCATTGCTGCTGTCTCCATCGCCACACTCTGCCATGTGCCACTTTCAGGTCTCCTCACACACTGCTGGTGTGTTCCATTTTTTTGTCATAGGGTGCTGGCAGATTACGGGCCTCCCATAGCTGCTGCCAGGCCCCTAATCTGCCATGGGCCCCTATACCCGCCTCCTCATGCTGCTGCCAGGTCCAGAGTCTCTCATGGGTCCCTGTACGGCCTCCCATTGCTGCTGTCTCCATCGCCACACTCTGCCATGTGCCACTTTCAGGTCTCCTCACACACTGCTGGTGTGTTCCATTTTTTTGTCATAGGGTGCTGGCAGATTACGGGCCTCCCATAGCTGCTGCCAGGCCCCTAATCTGCCATGGGCCCCTGTACCGCCTCCCTCCTCATCCAGAGCTGCTGCCCTGTAGGCCTCCCCACAGTGTCTCCAGCTGTCTCATGCCATGTGCCACTTTCAGGTCTCCCTCACACACTGCTGGTGTGTTCACTTTTGTCATAGGGTGTGTTCTTTTTTGACATAGGGTGCTGGCAGATTACGGGCCTCCCATAGCTGCTGCCAGGCCCCTAATCTGCCATGGGCCCCTATACCCCCTCCTCATGCTGCTGCCAGGTCCAGAGTCTCTCATGGGTCCCTGTGTACGGCCTCCCATTGCTGCTGTCTCCATCGCCACACTCTGCCATGTGCCACTTTCAGGTCTCCTCACACACTGCTGGTGTGTTTCATTTTTTGTCATAGGGTGCTGGCAGATTACGGGCCTCCCATAGCCTGCCATAGCTAATCTGCCAGGCCCCTAATCTGCCATGGGCCCCTAATACCGCCTCCTCATGCTGCTGCCAGTCCACAGAGTGCTCAGATGGTCCCCCTGTACTGCTCTGGCCTCCCATTGCCCTCCCATGCTGCTGCCAGGTGCTGCCCCCCTGTACGTCCCATGCTGCCCATCGCCACACTCTGCCATGTGCCACTTTCAGGTCTCCTCACACACTGCTGGTGTGTTCCATTTTTTGTCATAGGGTGCTGGCAGATTACGGGCCTCCCATAGCTGCTGCCAGGCCCCTAATCTGCCATGGGCCCCTATACCCGCCTCCTCATGCTGCTGCCAGTCCAGAGTCTCTCATGGGTCCCTGTACGGCCTCCCATTGCTGCTGTCTCCATCGCCACACTCTGCCATGTGCCACTTTCAGGTCTCCTCACACTGCTGGTGTGTTCCATTTTTTGTCATAGGGTGCTGGCAGATTACGGGCCTCCCATAGCTGCTGCCAGGCCCCTAATCTGCCTGCCATGGGCCCCCTACCGCCTCCTCATGCTGCTGCCAAGTCCAGAGTCTCTCATGGGTCCCTGTACGGCCTCCCATTGCTGCTGTCTCCATCGCCACACTCTGCCATGTGCCACTTTCAGGTCTCCTCACACACTGCTGGTGTGTTCCATTTTTTGTCAAGGGTGCTGGCAGATTACGGGCCTCCCATAGCTGCTGCCAGGCCCCTAATCTGCCATGGGCCCCTGTACCGCCTCCTCATGCTGCTGCCAGGTCCAGTGTCTCATGGGTCCCTGTACGCCACCCATTGCTGCTGTCTCCATCGCCACACTCTGCCATGTGCCACTTTCAGGTGTCTCCTCACACTGCTGGTGTGTTTCCATTTTTTTGTCATAGGGTGCTGGCAGATTACGGGCCTCCCATAGCTGCTGCCCAGGCCCCTAATCTGCCATGGGCCCCTATACCCGCCTCCTCATGCTGCTGCCAGGTCCAGAGTCTCTCATGGGTCCCTGTACGGCCTCCCATTGCTGCTGTCTCCATCGCCACACTCTGCCATGTGCCACTTTCAGGTCTCCTCACACTGCTGGTGTGTTCCATTTTTTGTCATAGGGTGCTGGCAGATTACGGGCCTCCCATAGCTGCTGCCAGGCCCCTAATCTGCCATGGGCCCCTATACCGCCTCCTCATGCTGCTGCCCAGGTCCAGAGTCTCTCATGGGTCCCGTACGGCCTCCCATTGCTGCTGTCTCCATCACTCTCTGCCATGTGCCACTTTCAGGTCTCCTCACACACTGCTGGTGTGTTCCATTTTTTGTCATAGGGTGCTGGCAGATTACGGGCCTCCCATAGCTGCTGCCAGGCCCCTAATCTGCCATGGGCCCCTATACCGCCTCCTCATGCTGCTGCCAGGTCCAGAGTCTCTCATGGGTCCCTGTACGGCCTCCCATTGCTGCTGTCTCCATCGCCACACTCTGCCATGTGCCACTTTCAGGTCTCCTCACACACTGCTGGTGTGTTCCATTTTTTGTCATAGGGTGCTGGCAGATTACGGGCCTCCCATAGCTGCTGCCAGGCCCCTAATCTGCCATGGGCCCCTATACCGCCTCCTCATGCTGCTGCCAAGTCCAGAGTCTCTCATGGGTCCCTGTACGGCCTCCCATTGCTGCTGTCTCCATCGCCACACACCTGCCATGTGCCACTTTCAGGTCTCCTCACACACTGCTGGTGTGTTTCCATTTTTTGTCATAGGGTGCTGGCAGATTACGGGCGGGCCTCCCATAGCTGCTGCCAGGCCCCTAATCTGCCATGGGCCCCTATACCGCCCTCCTCATGCTGCTGCCAGGTCCAGAGTCTCTCATGGGTCCCTGTACGGCCTCCCATTGCTGCTGTCTCCATCGCCACACACTCTGCCATGTGCCACTTTCAGGTCTCCTCACACTGCTGCTGTGTGTTTCCATTTTTTTGTCATAGGGTGCTGGCAGATTACGGGCCTCCCATAGCTGCTGCCAGGCCCCTAATCTGCCATGGGCCCCTGTACCGCCTCCTCATGCTGCTGCCAGGTCCAGAGTCTCTCATGGGTCCCTGTACGGCCTCCCATTGCTGCTGTCTCCATCGCCACACTCTGCCATGTGTGCACTTTCAGGTCTCCTCACACACTGCTGGTGTGTTCCATTTTTTGTCATAGGGTGCTGGCAGATTACGGGCCTCCCATAGCTGCTGCCAGGCCCCTAATCTGCCATGGGCCCCTATACCCTCCCTCCTCATGCTGCTGCCAGGTCCAGTCCAGAGTCTCTCATGGGTCCCTGTACGGCCTCCCATTGCTGCTGTCTCCATCGCCACACACTCTGCCATGTGCCACTTTCAGGTCCTCCACACACTGCTGGTGTGTGTTCCATTTTTTGTCATAGGGTGCTGGCAGATTACGGGCCTCCCATAGCTGCTGCCAGGCCCCTAATCTGCCATGGGCCCCTGTACCGCCTCCTCATGCTGCTGCCAGGTCCAGAGTCTCTCATGGGTCCCTGTACGGCCTCCCATTGCTGTCTCCATCGCCATCTGCCATGTGCCACTTTCAGGTCTCCTCACACACTGCTGGTGTGTTCCATTTTTTTGTCATAGGGTGCTGGCAGATTACGGGCCTCCCATAGCTGCTGCCAGGCCCCTAATCTGCCATGGGCCCCTATACCGCCTCCTCATGCTGCTGCCAGGTCCAGAGTCTCTCATGGGTCCCTGTACGGCCTCCTTGCTGCTGTCTCCATCGCCACACTCTGCCATGTGCCACTTTCAGGTCTCCTCACACACTGCTGGTGTGTTCCATTTTTTGTCATAGGGTGCTGGCAGATTACGGGCCTCCCATAGCTGCTGCCAGGCCCCTAATCTGCCATGGGCCCCTATACCGCCTCCTCATGCTGCTGCCAGGTCCAGGTCCAGAGTCTCATGGGTCCCTGTACGGCCTCCCATTGCTGCTGCTGTCTCCATCGCCACACTCTGCCATGTGCCACTTTCAGGTCTCCTCACACACTGCTGGTGTGTTCCATTTTTTGTCATAGGGTGCTGGCAGATTACGGGCCTCCCATAGCTGCTGCCAGGCCCCTAATCTGCCATGGGCCCCTATACCGCCTCCTCATGCTGCTGCAGCCAGCCAGTCCAGAGTCTCTCATGGGTCCCCTGTACGGCCTCCCATTGCTGCTGTCTCCATCGCCACACTCTGCCATGTGCCACTTTCAGGTCTCCTCACACTGCTGGTGTGTGTTCATTTTTTTGTCATAGGGTGCTGGCAGATTACGGGCCTCCCATAGCTGCTGCCAGGCCCCCCTAATCTGCCATGGGCCCCTATACCGCCTCCTCATGCTGCTGCCAGTCCAGAGTCTCTCATGGGTCCCTGTACGGCCTCCCATTGCTGCTGTCTCCATCGCCACACTCTGCCATGTGCCACTTTCAGGTCTCCTCACACACTGCTGCTGTGTGTTCCATTTTTTTGTCATAGGGTGCTGGCAGATTACGGGCCTCCCATATAGCTGCTGCCAGGCCCCTAATCTGCCATGGGCCCCTGTACCGCCTCCTCCATGCTGCTGCCAGGTCCACAGTGTCTCATGCCATGTGCCACTTTCACGGTCTCCCACACTGCTGCTGTGTGTTCCATTTTTTGCCACACTCTGCCATGTGCTGCAGATTACAGGTCCTCCATACTGCTGCTGCCAGGCCCCTAATTTGCCATGGGCCCCAGATACGGGCCTCCCATAGCTGCTGCCAGGCCCCTGCTGCTGCCCCCTAGGCCAGAGTCTCTCATGGGTCTCCATGGGTCCCTGTACGCCTCCCATTGCTGCTGTCTCCATCGCCACACTCTGCCATGTGCCACTTTCAGGTCTCCTCACACACTGCTGGTGTGTTCAATTTTTTTGTCATAGGGTGCTGGCAGATTACGGGCCTCCCATAGCTGCTGCCAGGCCCCTAATCTGCCATGGGCCCCTATACCGCCTCTCCTCATGCTGCTGCCCAGGTCCAGAGTCTCTCATGGGTCCCTGTACGGCCTCCCATTGCTGCTGTCTCCATCGCCACACTCTGCCATGTGCCACTTTCAGGTCTCCTCACACACTGCTGGTGTGTTTCCATTTTTTGTCATAGGGTGCTGGCAGATTACGGGCCTCCCATAGCTGCTGCCCCTAGGCCCCTAATCTGCCATGGGCCCCTGTACCCCTGTACCTCCCATCATGCTGCTGCTGCCAGGTCCACAGTGTCTCATGCATGTGCCACTTTCAGGTCTCCTCACACTGCTGGTGTTTCCATTTTTTGTCATAGGGTGCTGGCAGATTACGGGCCCCCCATGCTGCTGCTGCCAGGCCCCTAATCTGCCATGGGCCATACCGCCTCCCCTGCTGCCAGGTCCAGAGTGTCATGGGTCCCTGTACCCCCCCATTGCTGCTGCCTCCATGTGCCATGCTGCTGCCAGGTCCAGAGTTGTCATGGGTCCCTGTACGGCCTCCCATTGCTGCTGCCAGGTCCAGCAGGGTCCCACACTCTGCCATGTGGCAAACCCATTCAGGCCCAGCACCACTGCAGTGTGCCACCATTTTTTGTGCATAGGGTGCTGGCAGATTACGGCCTCCCATGCTGCTGCCAGGCCCTAATCTCGCATGGGCCCCTGTTTTTCGTCAAGCCGCCCTCATGCTGCTGCCAATGTTCCACATGTGGTCATGGGTCCCTGTACGGGCCCATGTCCCATAGCTGCTCAGCCTCATGCAGCCGCCATGGGCCTGTCTGCCATGCTGTGCCACTGATAATGATACTCAGGTCTCACACTGCTGGCCCCAGCCCAGGGTTCCATTTTTTGTCATAGGGTGCTGGCAGATTACGGGCCCCTCCCATAGCTGCTGCCAGGCCCCTAATCTGCCATGGGCCCCTGTACCGCCTCCTCCTCATGCTGCTGCCAGGTCCAGAGTCTCTCATGGGTCCCTGTACGGCCTCCCATTGCTGCTGTCCACCATCGCCACACTCTGCCATGTGCCACTTTCAGGTCTCCTCACACACACTGCTGGTGTGTTCCATTTTTTGTCATAGGGTGCTGGCAGATTACGGGCCTCCCATAGCTGCTGCCAGGCCCCTAATCTGCCATGGGCCCCTGTACCCGCCTCCTCATGCCTGCCTCCACAGTCTGCATGGGTCCCTGTACCCTCCCAGCTGCCATCGCCACACTCTCATGCCATGTGCCACTTTCAGGTCTCCTCACACTGCTGGTGTGTTCATTTTTTTGTCATAGGGTGCTGGCAGATTACGGGCCTCCCATAGCCATAGCTGCTGCCAGGCCCCTAATCTGCCCATGGGCCCCTATACCGCCTCCTCATGCTGCTGCCAGGTCCAGAGTCTCTCATGGGTCCCTGTACGGCCTCCCATTGCTGCTGTCTCCATCGCCACACTCTGCCATGTGCCACTTTCAGGTCTCCTCACACTGCTGGTGTGTTCCATTTTTTGTCATAGGGTGCTGGCAGATTACGGGCCTCCCATAGCTGCTGCTGCCAGGCCCCTAATCTGCCATGGGCCCCTATACCGCCTCCTCATGCTGCTGCCAGGTGCAGAGTCTCTCATGGGTCCCTGTACGGCCTCCCATTGCTGCTGTCTCCATCGCCACACTCTGCCATGTGCCACTTTCAGGTCTCCTCACACACTGCTGGTGTGTTACATTTTTTGTCATAGGGTGCTGGCAGATTACGGGCCTCCCATAGCTGCTGCCAGGCCCCTAATCTGCCATGGGCCCCTATACCCTGCCTCCTCATGCTGCTGCCAGGTCCACAGTCTCTCATGGGTCCCTGTACGGCCTCCCATTGCTGCTGTCTCCCATCGCCACACTCTGCCATGCCACTTTCAGGTCTCCTCACACTGCTGGTGGGTTCCATTTTTTGTCATAGGGTGCTGGCAGATTACGGGCCTCCCATAGCTGCTGCCAGGCCCCTAATCTGCCATGGGCCCCTGTACCATCCTCCTCATGCTGCTGCCAGGTCCAGAGTCTCTCATGGGTCCCTGTACGGCCTCCCATTGCTGCTGTCTCCATCGCCACACTCTGCCATGTGCCACTTTCAGGTCTCCTCACACACTGCTGGTGTGTTCCATTTTTTGTCATAGGGTGCTGGCAGATTACGGGCCTCCCATTGCTGCTGCCAGGCCCGTAATCTGCCATGGGCCCCCGTACCGACTCCTCATGCTGCTGCCAGGCCCCCAAATCTGTCATGGGCCCTGTTGTCGCTTGTTGGCATATTCCGCTCGTTCAGATGCTCCTTCTCCTGCTACTCCTCTTCACGGATTCCGTCAGCAGTCTTTCTTGGAATCCCGTTTCCAAGAGACAACAGTTTGCGAGCACGCACCCGACGGTGCAGAAGCTGAACGTCCTCCTGTCCAAGTTGCTGCTGCCAGGCTCGTAATCTGTCATGCGCCCCTGTACCGCCTCCTCATGCTGCTGCCAGGTCCAGAGTGTGTCATGGGCCCCCGTACCGACTCCTCATGCTGCTGCCAGGCCCGTAATCTGTCATGGGCCCCTGTACCGCCTCCTCATGCTGCTGCCAGGTCCAGAGTGTGTCATGGGTCCCTGTACGGCCTCCCATTGCTGCTGCCAGGCCCGTAATCTGCCATGGGCCCCCCGTACCAACTCCTCATGCTGCTGCCAGGCCCGTAATCTGTCATGGGCCCCTGTACCACCTCCTCATGCTGCTGCCAGGTCCAGAGTGTGTCATGGGTCCCTGTACGGCCTCCCATTGCTGCTGTCTCCATCGCCACACTCTGCCATGTGCCACTTTCAGGTCTCCTCACACTGCTGGTGGTTTCCATTTTTGTCATAGGGTGCTGTATGGCCTCCCATTGCTGCTGCCTCCACCGCCACACTGTGGCTCCACACTCTGGTTTTGGCCCCGTGACTGCCCAAATGAGTGAAGTGTGCGGTGATTCTAAGATCGACGGCACTCATCTGCATGTCATACTGACTGTCAGTATTATTTCTCTTCCCCAGCAGACTCCAAGGGCATTTAAATTAAAGGTACAGTGTTCTGCACTAATATAAAGGCTCTCTGAAGCCTAGAAACACCCTTTTATAAGTTAAATTCGCAGCGAATATATTCGACTCGAATCGAAATTTTTCCACGAATTCGCCGAATCAGTCGAATCGAATTTTTGAATACTTCGCTCATCTCTAATAGTAACTTGGCATCTACCATGTTTGCAAGGAAGTTGAACCACTCTCTGCGCCCCCCACACATGTATAAATTACGCACAAATTCGGGTGCTATCTCATCTCTACCTCAGGAAGTCTTGGGTATTTTCGAAAATTTTTATTCTAAGCTACTAGCTCCTCCGCAGTCAGATTCTGTTCCTCTGTCAGACTCATGGCTGGATTCTATACTCCTCTCTGCTCTTACACCCTCTCAGATTGCCTCTCTTAATGCCCCCTGTACTTTAGAGGAAATAACATGTGCGATAAGCGCGCTTAAACGCTCTACTGCTCCGGGTCCTGACGGATTTACCGCTAGCTATTATAAACATTTTGCCTCTACATTGGCTCCATACTTGATAACTTTATTTAATGATGTTTTGCGGGGGGGTAAGTTCCCTGAGGAGATGTTGTTGGCTAACATGTCTCTAATACCCAAGCCACAGAAAGACCACTGTTTGCCACAAAACTATAGACCAATCTCGGTCATGAATAACGATCTAAAAATATTTAGCCGTATTTTGGCAGACCGGTTGGCCCCTATCATCTCCTCTTTGGTTTCTCCAGACCAGTCGGGTTTTATTCCCGACAGATTTATTACTGATAACATTCGTCTCACTCTAAATGTTATTCAAACGTCAATTTACATTCCAAAGAGGTTCTGTTGATGAGTTTGGATATAACAAGGCCTTTGACAGTGTTCTTTGGCCCTACTTGTTCTCCTTGTTACAGAAAATGGGCTTCAGTGACGGGTTTTTGGCAGGCATACATGCCCTATACGACTCTCCTAAAACAAGAATTAGGCTTCCCGGCTGTAACTCTGACTTCTTTACATTGGGTAGAGGTACCCGCCAGGGCTGTCCACTTTCACCCCTTTTTATTTGCGCTGGTGTTGGAACCTTTGGCATTGGCGATTAAATCACATTCGGATATTTCTGGCTATTCATTATTAGTTTCACATTTTAAGCTGAGCATGTATGCTGATGATGTGCTGTACTGAACGATTTTGCCAAAGTGTCAGGTCTCACCGTTAATTTTACCAAATCTGTGATTATGCCTGTTAATGTTCCTGACTCCCTAAGTGCATCTCTCCGTAGTTCTTTCCCATTTTGCTGGGTCAAGGACAGGATATCCTATCTGGGGATTAATCTCACTCCCAGATACTCGGATATATTTACAGCTAATTATCCACCATGTGTATCACGTCTCTCTACTCTACTGAAGATCTGGCACGGTTATCATATCTCCTTTCTGGAGTCACGGCGGTTAAAATGAATATTTTGCCCAAACTGCTTTATCTTTTTAGAGCACTTCCAGTTCCGGTCTCAAAAGCGTTTTTGGATCACTTTCAGCGGACTATTAACATTTTTATTTGGGGAAATAAGCATCCACGTTTTGCCTCATCCATTTTGTATCGCTCACAACGGAGGTCTAGGTCTTCCTAACTTTTGGCTATATTACCTCTCGGCTCGTTTTGCGCAATTATCACAATGGGCTACTATTAACTCTCAAATCCCATGGATCAAGTTTGAGTCTCAGTCGATACGTCCTTTTTATTACCGGGAATTTTATGGTCTAACATCTCCCCCCGATCGCTTATTTTTCATAACTCTATAGTGACCCACTCGCTGACACTTTGGTCCAAACACAAAATCTAAATTGAGTTTAGTCTCTCCTATTCCCCCAGGTGTGTCATATTTTGGTGATCCTACTTTTGTTGTAGCCTTTTCTTCCCCTCACATTTTTCATTGGTGGTATGATCGATCTTTTATCAGATTATCTGATTTCCAAAGAGGAGGATCTTACATTACCTTCGATATGCTGCGCATGTTATTTGATGTTCCTCTTCGTGAGTACCTTCGTTATAGACACAGACTTTTTTTAATGCGCACTTTGGCCTTACCCCATCCTCTCCGATTTCCTTTTTTGAATGTATCAGCCATTACTCTCCCAGGGGTAGGGGTCTCATTTCAGATCTTTATCACCAATTTTTGATCTGTCTTTTTCATGCTCCCCCTTTGTACAGACGAAAATGGGAGGAGGATTGTGGCATCACTTTTTCAGGTGAGGATTGGGATTCCATGGTGGATAATATATGCAAGAGCTCTATATCTCTTTCGGTTCGTGAGACGGCCCTTAAAGTTCTAACCAGATGGTATTCTACCCCGTCAAGACTACATGTATTGTTTCCACAAACGTCCCCTTTATGTTTTCGAGGCTGTGGTTGCACAGGTACTTTGGTTCATATATTTTGGGATTGCCCGAACATATCTTTGATCTGGCGTAGGATTTCTGAGGTGGCTGCCTCACTGTCGGGTACCCCGATACGATTGTCCATGCAGACCTGTTTATTGGGGGCCCATATCCCAGGGGTCTCTGATGCCAATCTGAGATTGATGCATACATTATGTATTGCCACTTTATGGTCTATTGCCCTACATTGGAGGTCCAATGTTGTACCCTTGGACTCCGTTTTACACAGAATTGACGCTGTAATGCTTATGGAACGTATTCATTATACCCTACTGGATATGATGCACTTATACGATAAAAAATGGGAGTCATGGAGAGATTGTAGACATTTATTGCATGCTTAATAATATCCCCAGTACAAGTTGGCTGACATATACTGTTGACAGATGTATTACTCAACCTACTTTATCGTTTACGTATTTCATGCACTCGTAACTTCCTCTTTTCTTTTATCTTCTTTGTTATGTTAATATACTTTTATGTATTGTACTTTTCAAAAGTGCCTTGTTTTTGCTGACAATATCACTTTTAAAATGTGCTGTTGTTTTACTGTCTACTCATGTACAATAAAATAAAGTTGATTGGAGAAGGGAAAACATATAAAGAAGTGCAGAAAATGATAAGCTGCTCAGCTAAAATGATCGCAAATGCTTTAAAATGGCAACCAAAACCTGAAAGACGTGGAAGAATGTGAAAACTACCATTTGAATGGATAGAAGAATAGCCAAAATGGCAAGGACTCAGCCAACAATCAGCTCCAGGAAGATCAAAGAAGGCCTAAAGTTACCTGTGAGTACTGTTACAATAAGAAGACGCCTTTGTGAAGCCAAGCTATCTGCAAGAAGCCCCCGCAAAGTCCCACTGTTGAAAAAAAAGACGTGCTGAAGAGGTTACAATTTGCCAAAGAGCACATTGACTGGCCTAAAGAGAAATGACGCAACATTTTGTGGACTGATGAAAGTAAGATTGTTCTTTTTGGGTCTAGTGGCCGGAGACAGTTTGTCAGATGACCCCCTGTGCTGTTTCCTCATATTTGTTATTTAACTGTGCATTGTATCACCAATTCTTATTTCACCACGTTTGTTTCTATGTCTTGATCTGTTGCTGCCATCTGCTGGCCAGAATTTGCATGCTGCATGCCACTGTTATTGCTAGTAAAGTTTTTTCTCTGCTGGGCATGGTTTTAGGCAAGCCTTGGTTCTGGTCACTTCCTGCAGCCATTTTTATGCGCTATATAGCTGTGTGACAGGACA